TTGTAATGAATATGTCATTCACATTGAGTGACTTCATGCGCAGTTGCGGAAGAAATCGTGAAGCGCCCTCTGGACAATTGAATAGGTACGTTTTCAACGGAGTCCGAATCGCGACGCACTGACGTAAATGACATGATCCATTCCCTAGAATCTGAAAAGAAAACTAGAAAAGCTAAGTGAATAAAATCGCTGAATCACAAAAGCTCAAGAGAAAGAGAAGTGCACTTTAGCGATGGCTACGAATCCAAAATGGACGCATTAATCCGGTTTTCGAACTATACCTATATTCCTCAATAGAAGCTGTGAACAGAGACCATATTATTTCCTATTATTATAATTGCTTTAAAAGGATTAGATAATAACAAAAAAAAAATAAAAAAAAAAAAAATCTGGGTTTGAAATCATTGATGTATATCATGTTCATATTATAGTTATATTTACAGTTATAGATAATTAATATTATAATTACAATTATCTCCAAAACCAATGAAGAAAAAAAAGTTAAACAATAAATACACTTCCACTACTTCTTTCCCTTGAAAGTGGCTTCTGGCATTTGGAATAAGCTTCATGTACCAACAAATTTGGTCGCGATGAAAATATATTTTACACATTCTATGGAAAATGAAAAAAATGAGAGGAAGATAAACGACACCTCAATAGACACATGAGCGGGGATATTAGCGATCGTACTGGCTGGTGACTCAAATGCCTCACGACGCTTCTGCTGTGCATTATTCATTGAAATATTCAAGTTAGCGATAGATGAGCTAAGCTCTCGCGCCCTGGAACGTATGTTGATTTCTGTAAAACTGACAATCTTCAGTTAGACTTACAATGCTAAACTAACTTGATGTGGGATAAAGAGTGTCTCCTTAAGATTTGTCTATTTCTCGTAATAACTTCGTTCATTTCGGCCAGAAATTCGTTTATCCAATGGTGCAGCGTCTTCTTCTCACTTTCAAGAGAGACGAAGTAAAAACAGTACGAGTAGAAGGATTGAAGTCGACACTGAAACTGCTCACATTAAAAATGGGAGTAGAGAATAATCTTGCCATGAAATTCTCCTTTTTTTCACAACACGTCAAATACCAGAAATGGAGAGCAAAAACAGCGTCTTTCGCCAAGGGTCATTTATTGCAAGCTCTGTGGCACAGTTAATGAACAAAAGCAGCATACTCACCATTTACTATAGAACACTATGAATGAGCGTAGTCTCGAGGATGCTTTCATCGATACATCACTAAAACTTGCAAATTTTATGTTATATATGATTCAAATAATATGAGATGGCAATCCAACAACTGTACTGTTCATTTTTCGAAGGACTTTTACGATCTTTAGTCTACTGCACATTCCGACTTGAATTCGCTAGGTTCAAAGAATCTACAAGCACTAAAATGCGACCGAAAATCTGCCGCAATTCTCAAAAAACACGCCGTTTCGGAGACAGCTATGCCTTCAAGGCGGAGTTTACGATTAAAGGGCAGCCATTAGAAACCAAATTAGAGGTGGGCAATGTTGCCGAGATAAAATGAAAACACGAGAAAAGGCCCAGCACCCGAGAAATAGGAACTCTTCTTTGCTGTGATTTCCGCACGATGCGACTGCCATCGGTGCTACCCTCTTTGACGCTCACCCCCTCTATATTGAATTGGTAGAGACCTGCGGCGTGCGGTTGTCCACTCGATGGGCGTGTTGCACTGGGTACCGCCGTGCATATTGCCTTGCTAGATCGCCGGGCATTTCCTTCGCTGGGAACTGCGTGTTGGTCCGCACCCCTGAGGGATCCGCCTGACTTACCACTAGACAACTTTCCCTTTCTTTACCCTTCTTCTCACTAGCGTTAGAGGGCGCCGCGCAGTCGCAGGGTCGCTGTCGTCAGGTCGTCGCCACTTCGCCTGTCTAGGTATCGTCCTTCTTATCTTCTTCTCCCTTCTTTAACATTAGACCTTACCGTGAAATCCTCCTTCAAAAGTAGGGTGCCAGCGACACATCATTTCGTGGTTAAAACCAAGAGAATTTCGTGAAATGCCTGTACAAAGCTAGCGCGCGCATTGACAAGGATGAATTTAAAACGTGAACTTGTGCACCAAAACTCCTGTCTTTCTGTCTCTGCCGAAAGGAGAAGGACCTGCTTCATAGTTTAGAACGTTTAGTGAAGGAAATAAGGTTACCATGATGTGGTTAGGGGCGATCCAAACGTTCAAAGAATCCCGCTAATTAACAGGTTCACGTGACAGTGGTCCTTTTTGGAAGTTGATTGGGATTTGACAGTGGACACTGTTAAGTATACTTCTTCGACATTGGTTCGCCACTATTGAATCGCTAGCCATAGTTTCAATTCTACTGGCATCGGTCGATTTGATGCCAACGCTCGGTTCCAGTTTCGCTCGATTCGCAAACTATGACATCGGTCTTAGTGTCGCATAAACCGCGGTCGCATAGGGGAGGCTTCGCGGTCACCCATGCAAACACATGACTGCGCGTCATGGTATTTCGAAATCCGATGCGGTGTGGAATGTAGGGTGTATTGACGTGCGGCACTCAGATGTCGGTCAGACTCTGCGATTGCATCGCGCGATGCAGTCGCTCTTGCAATGTGCACAAGCGACGGGCGATTGGCATCGCTCCAAAGTGCGAGCGACGGGAGATTTACCCCGCCGACGACCGATACACACGGCGCCGCTCGGGTAAATCTCCCGTCGCTCGCACTTTGGAGCGATGCCAATCGCCCGTCGCTTGTGCACATTGCAAGAGCGACTGCATCGCGCGATGCAATCGCAGAGTCTGACCGACATCTCATCGTTTGAGCGAAATCCAACGTTCGTGACGATCGATACGATCTAATGCTGTGCGACAGTTCCGATCGTTGCTGTCGGACGACCAACTATGCATGCGCCCATAGTTACGCAAAGGTTTTCTGAACCTTACTAAATTTTCAGATTATTCAGTCTTTACTTTTACTGGAGTAAACAGTAAAGTGTAAAAATATACAATAATGTTAAGGAATCCCTACTCTGAGTGTGAGATGAGTAGTGTTTTTATTATAAGCAGTTGATACAGAAAGTTACTACTAACCTCTGCAGCGCGTGTTAACCAGTTTTTTTTTGGGCCGCAAAGGTTTCCTAGACTTGGTTGCGCAACATTCCAAACATCTTCTGTTCAATCTTCTCGAACTTTAAGATTCTTCTTCTCACACACGCCACATGGGAAGTAGATGACTGGAAAATATTCACCGTAATAACAGGTGATTCGACACTTCCAATTTGGAGTCATTATTACTAGGAGTGTATATGCACTCCAGTTACGCGGCGTTTGTATTCGGAATCGCCCGGCTCTCTTCTTCCCCCCCCACTGGCCTATTTTACTCATCCACACTCACGGGCCTTCTCTTTCTACGAATGTTCTCACTAGTATTTCGCTGAGAGGGTGCAAAGAAACAGTGCAATTCGTCGATGGACCCTTTCCCCCAACTGGCGTTGTACACTTGTTCTGCTACTTTGCATTATTTGGATGAAAAAACCTACTTTGGACAAGTTGGAGCGCTTAGTTAGATAGTCGCGGTGAAGAGTCAACCAGGGTGAATATCGGTCGAGGAAATCCTCGACAGGGGGGTCGTACCTGTTGGGCTGGTCCATGGGGGGTCGTACTCTTGGGGGTCAGTAACAGAAGTGTATCATGGTGCAGATAGGTAATAGGGTATAGCGCAGCAGAAAATGAAAACATCCGAAAAAAAACATGATATTAAATTTTCTTTGCAGGTTCAGTCGCTCCATTCCTCCACCTTCATGAGAAGGGCGTATTTGAAGGCAGTACAAAGAATGAAAGTGCATCCCCGCAAAGAAGAGTGCCACATGTGCGCACGCGCTGCAAAGGCACCTCCTCCGCCTATCACTCGCTCCTTCTCCCTTAATACCTCGCTGAGAATGACGCTGTTGTTAGGGACCCTGTCGGAAAAACGACAACCGTGAAGAAAAAGCGCTGGGCAAATGAAGTTGTTTTTTAGGTTACAGGAATAGCACAACACACTATGTCTACTACAATACAGTTTCGTTCGAAGGTCCCCATCATATAACACCTTTCAATCGATTCTGCAACTGTGAGTGGAGGAGGGATGCATGGCTTATACCAATACCAAATCGGATGATGACGATTGCTCCTATTCTTATTGTTTGCGTTCAAAGATATTGTTCTAGACACATTCCGAGTGTTGCCAACGAGTCACACTTGCAATGGTGAATGAGGGAGCGGATTTCCAGGTGGCCGGATCCGACCTCGATAGATCCTCGACGCAATTATCTCTTCAACCAAAAAGCTGTAGAAGAAAACTAAACAGACCATCAGGAAGCGCAACCTTCCGCTTTCCAAAACTATCTTCCCTTTTTCAGGATCTTACAATATAAGAGATATATTGCTCTTGAAGTGGCAAAAACTCGCGTGAAAATTTCGGCCTCCTCGACATTTACTCGACGAAATTTGAGAGACCCTATCTTTCTGCATGGAAGGCTTCCAGAGCAATTTCGAATGCTTGTTGGAAACGCGAAATCCAGCTCTATCTAACTCTACCTCAAGCTGCTTCAAAGGTTGTGAAATGGAGGAATGCAACCTTTTCATCGAGGGTGTAGATTCGGACGTTTTTTTTTGAAATTTCGGCAAATCTGACCCAGTGACAATCGCGCCGCAGCTGCCGTTGAATCGGCCTTTGATACACTCGGCTGTTTTGATATACTCAAGCAAGAATCAAGATTGAATCGCAACCCCGTGTCTTCAGGATTTCTGTGCGTTTCTGAACGAACCTCGCCTTGAGGTCACACAAAGTTAATGCCTCTTTCCTCGAGTCGATATTTCAGTATGTACACAAAAGTATGCAGCGATGGAAGACGTGCATAGATGACAAGATGAAGCGTCCTTAGCATTATTTTGCAGAATTTTTTTGATTGTTTTGATTTTTTTTGATTTTTGTTTTGCAGGATTTATTTTAATTGAATTAATTTGCTCTGTTAGAGGGGGTCGTGCCAGGATCTCGATTTCGGGGGGGGGGTCGTACCTCTGCGACCACGTACTCGACACGATTTTCACCCTGGTCCACCCGTATATGTGTTAATAGCTCGTGCAAACGTGAATCACACCGAGAATGACAACAAAACCGCTGTTGTGCCATACACATTCAGTCAACTATAGGGAAACGAACTCTCTTCTGATGGATGAAACATGAAAAGGATTACGTACTCTAATGAGACAACGGAACAAAATTAAATTTCTAAACAAAACACAACAGAAATCGGTGTACAGGTGAATGCGTTCATAGTCTATGGTAGCGTTGAAAAGAAATGTCACTACTAATTAATCATTACATAAGAAACTTCTCTGTATTTGAATATCGATATTCAAGGAGTAACACCACACAATAATAACATGGATTAGCAATTTCAGAATTGATTCATTTTCGTCGTCCAACTGGTTGACAACCGCATCTGAGCTATTTGCTCTCAAACTAATAAAAAGAAAACCTTCCTAATCAATGAAACTTTGGATAAATCTATAATAACTACTGTTTCCTAATTACAACACACGATCTATCATTAACACAACACAGTAACAAAAGAAGCGGCCCAAGAGCACGGAAACAGTCGACAAGTTGATGAGGATAACAACTCTATCAGGGAAACAAGTATACGTGAGGGGAAAGAAGCTGATTTGCAAAGATCAGCAGAAACAGTCATCATATGATGAGGACGGGAAAGCATCTCGAGAGCATCATGTGTCAGTAACAAAACAATCACACCGAAAATGATAACGACCCATCATAAACAGAATCGTATAACTACAAAAAGGCACTAAGATCCACGGAACGCCTGTGCGATTCTAATTCTTTAAAATTGAATGAACTAATTGCAAAATCAAACAAGACCGTCCGGGTGATTGCGAGACTTCTGCAGAGAAATGAAGAAAGTTGCACATGATACGACTTGGCCAGACCAACTAGATATCGGAAAATTGTGCTCTAGAAAGCTGAATTACGTATAAAGCATGCAAGTACACAGGCATTCCGCAACACTCAGTGGATTCTCTCTTAAGACATATTTGGAAGTGCAGATGGTAGACCAAAAGGCATCGTAGAGTGACTGTCGTGCAAACCAGGCTCCGCGTGACTCTTGGGAGGAGGTAAATTCCTAGGGTCATCAAGAGCCTCCGGCTGAAAAGAAGAAAATAATTAGATAGATATTTCGCTTGTTGCATAGCAACAGGGAAAAATTGACAACGAACAATAACATATTGATTGTAAGTCTCTAAGGAGGGATGGAAAAAGCTAATTAGTAGATTAGGAGGTAGAGATGTGACAGCTCCCAGCAAAAACAGTCGAACGGCAAAGTCTGGGTTGAAAACTTCTAAGCAATCAAGACCTCTTTTAATGGGCGAAAGAGAGCCTGGTGGTTCAAAGAAGCTCTCAGTCGCTCAGTCAAAATGAGCAGAAGCAAACTCAAGCAAAATGAACCCTCGTGTGATGATGTTATGAATAACGCAAACGACTATAAATGGTTCCTATAGATTATGCATAACATAGCTTCATTCCGTACGTCTCGACGCATTATGAAAATTATTCACTTCGCCGTAACCAAATTTCGATGAAGTAAGAACTTACAGGAGGTGCTGTTGGATCCACCATAGAGCCCATCCACCGAGTAGTTATCAGGCCAACGCCTTCAATCATGGCCAAAATCACCGCACCAAGTATGGCCGATCCTGCCATTACTTTTGGCCCGCTACGGATAGCTAACAAGGCACCAGTCAGACCGCCCGAAGCAATCGAGTTGAACGGGTCCTCCTAGAAATCCACAACAAGTAAAGCAACGATAAACCATAAAAGCCAAAAAGGAAGCTAGAAATGGTGACTGACTCGCAAACTAGAGGCTAACTTTTTTAATGAGAATAGATTCTTATGTTTAAAATTCACATTTACCCAGTTTCTTTCACATTTGCACCCAATAACAAAGGAACGAAGCATGCGGTTTTTACTTTGATGTTGTAAAATTTACAAACGACTGAGCTCAAAATCTGACCAAGATTCAAGGGTCAGGACATTACTACAGAAAAGGATTCAGATGCGGGGAAGCGCATAGATTCACGCTTGCCGAATAAAATAGCGAAATGAGGGAAGAAGCGAAGATCAAACTTAAGAGACTAGAAAATTTGTAGAAAAATTTTCATCATCATTGGGAGGAATGAAGTGAACGTAAAAAGTTAACAAACCTTTTTTCGAATAGCAACCAGCCCGCAATCGATCGTGCTGAACATACCACCCCATGCTGCGAATTGAACACCAGTTATTGTACTTCGCATCCTTACTTCTCTCAACATTCCGATCTATAAAGCATTTCCAAGGAATCGCTCGTAATTAATTCAGCACAAAATGACCCAAAAGTGATCTTATGAAGTAGTACTTATAAAGCACTTGGTAATAGTAAAACAGTGTTTACAGGTTGCCGCGCCTTTGCACACCATAGCCGAAAAACGCTCGAAACGAACGAATCTGCGAACCCTTTTGAGAGAATTGTATACCTATCGACCAGGTGAAGTGGAGGCGGCGCATCGTTTCGCGCTTTCGATACCTCGACGCGAAACGCTGAGAGGGCGGAGTTGACTACGTCGATACGCATCTAAACCTTTTCGCATCCGCGTTCGCGCGTGCGGAAATTCTCATGGTCGATACGTATATAATTCTTTTCGCGAATTCGAATATTCGGATGATTCGAAAACTGTGAACAATGACTTACAGAATTGTACCGTGGTCAGCAAGGAAACGCTACCTATGAACATTGTCCTAAGAGACAGAGCAAAAGGCGGACACCTTCATTCTTTGCAGACGGTATGCTATACGAAGTTATTTGCTGTTTGGGAAATGCCAAACTCAAATTATTGAGTGGTTCTTTCTGATTTTTCCTACCATAATCCTCGAAAGTATTTCTTTCTTTGCATCATGAAAAAGCTAAATATTAGGTTGTTGCAATACCGTTGTCGCCTTTAGATACATAAAATTTGGTAACAGTAACCATTCGGTACCTTAGAACAACAAATGGGTGCCAATCTTATGGTGCCGAACTTTTTGAGAAAAAAGTCGAATCCTTATGCAGTAATGGGCGCCTCGGCCGATGTAACTCGCAGTCAAGATTCCGACTTTCTTCTCAAAACATTGAATTAAACTGTGCGCTGGTAAACTTGGACTTCCACAGTCGGATTTTTTTACAGCTTCAGGATCATACCTTCTTCACAACAACCTGCGTTGACTGGCCGATGTCAGACTCTGCGATTGGAGCGATTGCGCGACGATCGCGCGATTGACATGACCTCCCATCATGACCAATCGCTCCAATCGCGCGATGGGCGCGATCACTCCCGTTGTGGCTGGCGCGCCCCCCTCGATCGATACGTTGACTGAGGTTACACTACACGACAATTGTGCACCCAACGCTGCTCCAATCGCAGAGTCTGACATCGGCCACTCAGATAAGGAGCACCTAGATGGAGTGAGCCAGGAAGAGTTCAGCGGAAAAGAATAATGTTGTCAGTCTAGCTAGGTACCGCGATAAGCGCTTTACCCATGGTGTGATTAGCCTAGGTAATCGTCGAATGTACTTCTTGCCGAGTTAGGGCACGGTCTGATGCGAGCCCCTTTTTAATTGCAAAGGCTTGCCGTAACCGTGTGATGTGAATTGAGCTCCTCAACGATGCCGTAAAACCCCCACCTGCTTACCCATGCACTTCTAGTCATCATTCCAAAGGAAAAATTACAATAAAAACGAAATTGTACGGCCGAATTACAGGTCACTTCTATACTCCTGGATGTCCTCTTTCGTATAAATACACAGATACCTCTAGTGGTAAGGAATCAAAAGCTGCCCAGTAGTGTGGAACTAAATCCGAGTGGGACTTACTGCAACAACCTAATAATATGCAGCAGCCGCCATTAAAAGGGTGAATGGCAGATATTCAGAAAACCATGGAGCGGTGGTGTTTTCCGTGACATGCGCTACGTTGAAAGCACAGTGCAGACATTCACAAATGCCAAGGTAAAGTAACAAATCAAAAACTTCGAAAAAAAATAAACTTTGAAAGTTAAAGAAGGACAGCTTCCATCTTGTATGAACTAGCTAGCTGAATGCACTCACCCAATTTTTGCTCCTTTACGCGTATTATAGCCAGAAAAATGCCTGAGATTGAGCCACCCACGAGACCCATGGCGAAGGCAGATCCAAGATCATCACCAATTCTGTAGGGGCTGGAATTGTGAAGTATTCATGTGCCAAGTTGATTGGGAGGTTTCCCGCCCAACGCTTCTTGTAATCTTAAACATTGATGACCGCCGCAGCGCTTGCGCTGCGACAACTATTTTGTATTTTTCCATGAATAGATACCAATTCTTCAACACTTTCATTACCAGTATAAACCACTTGTTTCTCCGGAAACCATTTTATACGTAAATGTGAATGTGCTGTTTTGAAAACGAAAAAACGCCAAATAAACAGACAAAACAAGCATGATCCTTGTGAAAGAGTGCATGGCGCCATATCATTCGCTTGACAATGTGTTCATAGTCAAAGACCTCGAGATCAGAGGTGTGCGCCGCCACCGTGCACCACATTTGGGTAAAGAAGGGCAGGGCGGTAGGGAGCTTGAAGGAACACCAGCCAGGCGCATTTCTCAACTCAGCCTGGTTTCCTTTCGATGTGGAGTCGTAGTAGAGTTTGATGGCGTAACTGCTCCACGATTGGGAGTACCAGGAGGCGCTGGCCGGTAATCAGACAGATCCCTTAAACTCTAGCCCTCGCCCCGCGCAGTTACTGGCTCAATGGTCACCTCAGAGGCCTGCTAAAGTAGAAGAAAATTGAGACGTCTCAGTTAAAAAGTGTTATTTTTGTTGATCTACCATCATTTTTGGGCCCAATTTTGCCTCTAGACGGGAATGCCGATGGCGGCCAATCATCCTTCGAATACGACTTGCGAGAGTCGGGACGGGAATCTTTGCGATCAACCTATCAAAAAAGCGTGAAAATTCAAATGAAGAAGTGTGATATATGTCAGCCGGAAGTCCTAAATGTCCATGCGCGTCATGATTTCTCAAGAGTCCCTTTGTAGTGTGGAGCAGTAGCTGCGCATTGATCGTGCGACACATACGATCGTTGCAGTCGTCGACAGCAACGGTCGTAAGTGTCGCACTTCTGACGATCGATACGCATCTAATGCTGTGCGACAGTTACGATCATTATGGTAGGACGACCGACTATGGTCGATGTCATAGTTTGCGAATCGAGCGATTCGCTAGCGAATCGAACTTGCGCCAGCGAATCGACCGATGCACCAGCGAGTCGAACTATGTACCAGCGACTCGACACTGTTTGAAAGTGGCGGGACCCAATGTTAAAGAAAGTCCAGCCGCTTTCAAACAGTGTCTTCCTTTGAAATGGACTTCCTTTCAAACAGTGTCGAGTCGCTGGTACTAGTTCGACTCGCTGGTACATCGTTCGACTCGCTGGCGCAAAGTTCGATTCGCTGGTGCAACGTTCGATTCGCTGGCGCAACGCTCGGATCCAGCGATTCGCTAGCGAATCGCTCGATTCGCAAACTATGACAATCGGCCTATATTAGCGCCCTAAGACGACGCAAACATGCCATACGCCGCGCGGTGACTTCCTACCCCTCCCCCCGCTCCGAACCACGTCGAGCCGAGTGGACTACATATGTGATCGTGCGATTGCCGTATGATCAAAACGTATTGCCTCCACATTCGAACTGCAAAGCGGTAGCAAGCTATGGCCGCGGCCCTAAGATATCGCAACAACGTTTATCCTAGTGATCTGCTACCGGTGCTATCTTAGTTGTGGGGGGGGGAACGCGGCGCGGCGCTCTGTTCGTCTCCTCCTGCAAGGCTGAGTCTCCGATGGCGTGTATTTCGAAACTGCCACGTGATGGCGAAGTAGTAAGTGCCAATGGGATTAAGCCGGCCGACAGAATACTTGAACTCAGCCCTTTAAACCCTCTGCGCTCTCTCGCGGGTCCCTCTCCTCTCCAAGGCTTAGTCCTAGGACATTCACCCGTTCTCTAATCGTCTGTGCTCTAGCCATCGCGGCAGGACTGAG